GTAGTGGTGCCTCAGAAGAAATGACTCACAGTCTTCTTCCATAAAGCTATTTCTCTGTGCTATTGAGTCAGAACCAGCTCATAGGTGAGCAGTCAGGCAGTTTGCAGAGGCAATAAATTTCACAAGAGTAGACTGCCTGTCTTTCTACAGTGGAGCAGCTGGTGGATTTGGACAGCATGCCTTTGAGTTGTCAGTGCAATGCCTTAGCCACTAGCCAACAGAGTTCCATAAAATTACAGCCAATAAAAATTTAACATTTCTTCTCTATAATATATTGCTGTTGTTAGGTGCAATCAAGTCAAGTACAACCCATAGCAACCCTGTTAACAGATGTGAACCCTGCCCTATCCTGTGTTATCCTCATACTTCCAGACACATTAGAGCCCATTACAGCAGTCACTGTGTCAGTCCACCTAGTCAAGGATCTTCCCCTCCTTCGCTGACCTTCTACCTTTCTGAACATGGGGACCCTCTTCCAGGACTAGCCCCTACTAGCAACATGCCTGAAGTTTGTGAGGCAAAGCCTCATGGTCTTTGCCTCCAAAGAGCACTCTGGCTACACTCTCTCCAAGTCATATTTGTTTGTTCTCTTCTCAATCCATGGGATTTTCAACCCTCTTCTCCAACACTACACCTCAAAGGCATGAACTCTTCTGTCATCCTTATTCTCTGTCCAGTTCTCAGATGCATGGTTACAGATGGTGTGAACCATAACCAGTTCCTTTCTGTTCTCCCACCATTTGTCAACACCGAGCCATTTCTTTCAAAGGAAAATCAACTCTATATTGATCTATGTGAGTAAAATACCTCCACAAGGTTCCCCTAGGGCCTTTCATGATAACTGTGTGGCCTTTCAGAGTAATGTCAGCATTCTCTGGAATGTCAACAGCCTGGTTGCTAGGAAGGGTCTTCATTTTCTCAGTAAATGTGGCAATGAGCAAGCATAACCATTTTTCACATTCACATCTGTGTTTTATCAATTGTTCAAAGGTATTTCACAGTGTGGATCACAACAAATTGTGGCTAACATTGAACAGAATAGGAATCCCATAACACTCTATTATGCTCATGTGAAACCAGTACCTAAACAGGGAAGCTCTTGTCCAAACAGAGCAAGGGAACAATACTGCATAGTTCAAATCAAGAGAGGAGAGCATCAGGGATGTGTCCTTTCTGCATACTTGTTCAGTCTGTATGCCAAACAGATCATTAGAGAGGCTAGACTTTATGAAGAAGAAAGCATCAGGATTGGAGAAAAACTCATTAACAATCTGTCTTATTCAGATTATACAATCTTGCTCACAGGAACTGAGGAGGACTTGAAGCACTTGATGCAGAAGGTCAAGGACTGCAGCTTTCAATATGGTTTTCTTTTCAACATCAAGAAAATGAAAATCTTTACCAATAGACAGCATCATGATAAATGGAGACAAGATTGAAGTTGCTAAATGGTTTCATCTTACTCAGGTCCACAGTCAGCAGTCCAGAAATCAAAAAATCGAGTTGCATTGGGAAAATCTGCTGTCAGTAATATCAGTCTAAAGACTGAGTTGTGTCTGATCGAAGTCATGGTCTTCTCAATTGCTATGCATCTAAGAGCTAGACAGTGATGAAGGATGATAGAAAAAGAATCAGTGCCTTTGAGTTGCAGTGCTGAAGTATTGAACATACCATAGACTACCAAGAGAACACACAGATCTGTCCTGGAGAAAGGGTGTAAGGTAGAAAGGTAGAAGGTCAGTGCAAGAGGGAAGACCCTGGATGAGAATGATGGACACAGTGACTATGGCAATGGGGACGGATATGTTGAAGGTGGTGAGGTTGGCTTAGGATAGCGCAAGGTTCAGAGCTATCATTCATAGAGTCCCTGTGAGTCCCTAGATGACTCAAGGACACCTAATAACAACAACAAACAACATTTACTAAGTTATTTTTTCATTTCAATTCTGCTAGGTTTTAAGCTTTGTAACTGAAAGCTGTCCTTACTGTAATTTATTTTGTTTCCCTAGTTGAGGCTCTTTCCTATGACAAACCAATTTCAAAAATATTTTAAAAGTTCAAAGTAAGTTTGAGGGTGTGTGTGTGTGTGTGTGTTTTCTCTGATATTTTCCTCAAAAAGGAAATTAACGTTTCAAATCTACTCATCAGACTGAATCAGAATTTTCTTAGAATCTAGAATGTAGTTAGGGCTAGGAGGAAGTAGGGAGGGGTGGGATCATTTCTTTCTTTCATCATAGCCTTATCCAGAAACAAAGACTCATTTATAGAGTAGAAAAGTTAGGAACATTCTGTTGATTTCCGAGTTCTAGTTAGAACATTTACAGGCCACAGCATCACATTCTTATTTTCATGCCCATTGTGTCCAATTTCCATTTACCACACACACATCAAACCAGGTGGAAAAGCTTTATCCATGTATGGCTGATTCTACGCAGCAGAATTCTTGAGCTAGTATCCTCTTTTAGCTTCCTGTGAAACATTTTGTAGTGTTTTGTTTGTTTTTGTTGGATTTTTTACTAATGGATAGCTAATAATTATTGAGTGAGTATATGAGAAATGGAGGCTCAGTCATTGACTATACTAAATAAGAAACTTTTCTTAAAAAATCTTATTACTTGCTCTGAAATAATTTTTTTTTTCCAGGTCTAGGTGACCTGAGAAAAAGAAAGCTACTTTGAAATACTGTGATAGAAGTGTTGACAGAAAAAAAAAATCATTTCTTCTGGAGACTAGCCAAGTATAGTTTTTAAAGGTCAAAAGTGTTTTTTTATAACTAATGAGACTAGTATAGTGCACTTGTTTTTTTTACTCTCTTGTGTCTCAGGATGATAATGTTTTATCTGTAGTATATACTGGCATTTGACAGGGCCATATATAACTTTATAACTGAAGAAACCTTCAATGGTGTCAAACCTTGGTGATTTAAAAGGTGTAGATTCACCCCAGACATGTGAATGTATGAAGTCTTACTAATTTTTTGTACAGTGAGTTAAGCCTCATAAGTATATATGTGGTTTCTTGTGTGTCATTTGGAAGTTTTGGCCTTGGTGATGATACCATTCTGATGTGAGTAACTTGTTTTCGGTGACAATATCACATCGATACACAACTCATGTGCAACTTAAAAGGTTTGTTTGTTAGCTGGCCCTTCCAGGTGTTTAAACTTGCTATGCTAATTTTTGTTTACAGCATCTTGTAATGATGTGACCAGTTTCTTTTCAGGCTGATTATGGGTTAGGAAATCAAAAGGATAGGAAGACTCTCCTTTCTTGTGAAGAACAAGCGCGCCCTAAGCAGGTTGCTGAATGACTTACACTGCCAATTAGTTAGAACACATTTGGCTGCCAAAGACTCTAGAAGGCCGTGTGCAGAATGCAGCACTAAGGAGACTCAGACATCAATTATGTGCAGCATTTGCAGGTTGTGTGTGTATATGTGTGTGTGTGTGTGTGTGTGTGT